TATATATATATATATATATATATATAAAGAGAGAGAGACATGGACATGCATATCAGGCGCCTTCTTTAGAAATTGGTTACATGCACAAAATCCTAATAGATTAAAAACAAGTTTAATTATCTGCACAGAGGCAGTTGCAGATCCGCTTTACAGGATTATTATGGACCGGATCCATAGAGTGCCCAAACTATTGGTATGAAACCAGGATTCACTGACCTACGATCGTGGTTCAACACCTCCCGCAAGGACTGCAGTAGCATCATGTGATTTGTATTAGAATCTCAGTGGTGTGAAACGTGACACATTTGCGGTCTATTTAAAATTTGTTACACTGAACTGATGCGTTTGGTACACAGTAAAATGATTTGATTGCCTAGATGAATACCGATAAGGGTATTGCTTTGGTTTTAACCATACCAAATATTCAGTAGTGCTCGCAGAGAAACAGCCTAGCATAAAACTATCCGTCCCATCTGGCGGTGCGATTGCAGTGGGCGCCCATGACATATATAATTTGCATTATCGCAAGCTTTCAAATGCATGTATGACCTTGTGAATAATCAATGTGAGAAATTCCTCAAAATTGCACGTGAATGAATATCACACAGTCTGTGATCACATGGCGTTCTGATTTTCTTAGCATACCAGTTGAGATCTCGTCCAATGCAATAGCAAAACATAATACTGCAGTGCAAACAAACCTTGCAGTACACAATCCTTTTTTTCGTAGTAGCCAGGTAAAATTCCACAACGCGCCTTTTTTAGCGAGGCACGAGTGTAGTCAGACCACAACCTATAGTGGAACGATGAAAATGAACTTGATCGAACAGGTTGCATCAAATTCCTCGATTTTGGCTATTAGAAATCACCGTTTTGGACACCAGGTGATACGGAACTGTGTCGATTTGGTCCCCATCTCCCTTGCATTACGTGTACTCACCGGTTGTTACTTGTTTAGAGTACCCAAAGAAAACAACCAAAACTATAGCACAGAATAGTAGGGCGAATATTTGTAAGTTGAAAGTGTAGCAAACAGATTTTTACTTTTCCACAGTGCCTCACAAATCAGATGACAAGCTGATGGAGAACGCTGTTACACACATGCAACGAAATGATGCGAATAACTCACCTATTCCAATTTCCAGTCTCCTCCTCCCAAGCCATGCGTTGAAGATTACCCAATGCGGCCAGATGAGGTAACTGGTCCACAGAACAATATTCACATTGATCTGGCCAAACCGGAGTGTAACAATACTGGTCTGTGATATTCTGATCAGACTCTGCCAGCAGTTGTTTGTTCACCTGCAATGGGACCAGTTCCCACAATGCCGAGTCATAGACCTCCAAACTGCTACGAGCGGCCAATTCGCTACGTCCACCGAACAAGAAAATGCGTCCTTGATGACTTATCAGACAGGAAAAATCACGTGGGAGTGGAACATCGGTTTGGAGAACTATGGAAGCTGGTTCAAATATATCATCCAGTTCATCGAATTGAGGCCGTAAGGTTCCCGGCGCAGGGTTGGTTGGGTCCATTGTTTGCGATGCGTGGTGGACACGTGTCGGAGGCGATAAACTTGGTCCAACACATGGATACGGATGAATTTGGATGCGTGTCCAGGACCAGGTGACAAAATCGAACCGATAAACGAAATTATCGTAACTTCCAAACTAAATTAATGAGCAGAGGGAACAGCAAAGAGATCTGGCTATAAAAGTGCAACACACACACACGATTCACACAACCAAGAACGAAACACGTTTATCTGATAACTCCGACTGCTAAACTATCATAAAACGCATATCTCATCCCTAACTCTTCTCCAGTTTCAAACTTAATCCGGATGTCTAATGGACTAACCAAATCTGCCATTCAGCTTACGGTAAGAGAGTGAGTCAGTGGCAAGTGTTAGTGTCGATGATATCACCTTGCTCAGTAACGGTGCACAGACGTGCTGGACCGTTTGGTCATTGAGATTGCTCAGTACAGCACGTGCATTACTCCATCAAAGTGCAAGATTCGTAGGAGCCTGTAGTTGATCTATCGTTTGATAACAAAACCAAAGATGAGGTAGAAGCCTTTGTTTACATAGGATGTTGTGTAACAGATGGTGAAGTTCCGGGTGAAATCCAGGAAAGCGTAATCAGTTTTTACAACCATTACCATGCACTTTCGTTTGCTGGTTTTGATTGCAGTCTTTCAGCTGTTACTTTGGACGAAGGAGCAGAAGGAAGAATGAGAAGTTCAAAGTGGAGTTGAAGAGATAATCAAGCATTGCAGTAGACCAGGGTTGGGAAGAAATTGAGAAGATGCACGAGCGCCACTGTCTGCGAAACTTAGTCACATTATTCAGTGACTGCAAACATCGATTACAAGGATCTCGAGGTCCTCATCTTTGAGGCTTAGGGCAACCAATATGAAGGAGACTACTTAATCGGAGTTGTACTGATGATGTTGCCTAGCCTGGCTACGAAACGTCCGCAAACAACATTTCCAGCTCGGAGAACACACTAAAAACAACATCCACATCCTGAGTTACAATCGTTCCACATTATTTCCAACTCCAGATCAGTGTTTTCATACCCTCACACCACGTTTGAGTTTGATCACCCTGGGCGTTTTTCCACCCACTACCTGCCTCGACAAACATCACCAGCCGTAGCAGCCCACTTGAGGACATGCGTAGCACATGCCTATCCGATGAATATGCAACACCACTTTCAGTGAAATCGTATCTGTACAGTGCAGTGGTGTGTTTTGTTGCTCTACGGTTGCGAAATTTCCCCTCTCTACATTACTATTTTATTACAAAAAGCCATGATCTGTGCATTATCACTGCCATTTGGTGGGAATGTGGTTAGCGTAACGTTGATGTCGGGAAACATGTGCTGAAGCTGGACAATTCTCATTGAAGTAAGATACCTTTGATTTGAACTGACTATCCTTCGGACTTCATTTTCACGCACAATGTTCAGTTCATCCAGTCGAATGTAAACTCGGAAGCACTAGACGGAAATTTCGNTCTTATTAGAGCTCAAGACTAGTTTTTCTTTAGTACACAGCAATGTGTTGCACAGCAGTCAGAGCGGACCCCATAATCACGAAGATCTGCCGTGCAGTGATGGTAACCGGCAACCTAAGCCCCGAGACTTAAAATGGCGAACCACATAAGGCCCCGCTAGGTCAAGCGTGGTATAGAACCGGGTGACAGCAATGCTGTCTACCACCAAAGTGGGGTGGCAGTGGCAGGGCTCGAACCTCGGACCACGGGGTCCTAAGTGTGCCGGTAAAAGCGAATAAGCCACTGAGCTACCACCACCCATCATCATCATCATTATCATCGTACAGCGAAATACAGTGAAGCGAACTTCGCTGATCGCTGCCAAACTCGCAATGCATACAAGGTT